GAGAGAGAGAGAGAGAGAGAGAGAGAGAGAGAGAGAGAGAGAGAGGATGTGGGTTGTGCAGGTAGGATTGGCGTTGGCGACGTGGATGCGAGAGAGAGAGAGAGAGAGAGAGATAGAGAGAGAGAGAGAGAGAGGATGTGGGTTGTGCAGGTCATAGGATTGGCGTTCGCGACGTGGATGCATACAATTTATGGCGATACGTCAGTTCTGTGGTATCCCTTCCTTTCCCCCTCCAGCACTTCCCTCATCTGCTCTGTGACTCTCGGGAAAAAAAAGAGCCGTTCTCCATTCATTTGCAGGATTGATCTTTGGCACTTGAACTGATTGGTCTGAGATCTAATTCATTTTTTCAACAATTTGTTGTTGCGGTGTGTTTTCTTTCTATTGCATGTATGTGTTCTGTCGAATCTAATATTATAGAATGCACATCCCCTCCTCCCCCCCCCTCCCTATTAGTCCTGTCTGAATCTTCTTTCTTCTTCTATCGAATGCGTACTTACCGCCACTGAATAATCTGTTCGAATGGATGGGGTCCTCTGTCCTGTGGAATGATAATATCGATGAGAATTACCGGTCGGTGGAAGTAGATCTCTCTCTCTATTTTTTTTTTTTTTTTCTGTCTCTCTATAATATTGAAGTTGCCTGTAAGTCCAAAATTCAGGTAGTAGATTCCGTTGTGAATGAGAGGAAAAAGCTATCGGCGTAGGTCGGGTGGGGGCGAGGAGGTCCTTTCCCTCTCTTTCTCGGTCTATCGATCCCTGAACTCTTGCTTCCTCGGCGGCCTCATCAAACTGACTGGCCCCAGGTAATTTTGAAGTATCTTATTTCATTCATCTGGTCCCATCCGGTTCCATCTGGTCCCGTCTGGTCCCGTCTGGTCCCATCTGACTGCATTGTCCGTATGTCAACAGTTCAGGGGTGTACCAACTGAACTAGGCCCGTCGGTGGTTGCGTTTCATCTTCGTATTGCATCTACCGTCACTCATCTCCCCCGCGTCTCCCCCTACATCTCTCCTACCTCTGCCGTACCTCTGCCTTGCATCTGCGTTACCTCCCCCTACCTCCCCTACCTCCCCTACCTCCCCTACCTCCCCTACATCATCGTCTTCTTCATCATAAACACACTTATGGTCAGATCGGATGTCACAAAGGTCCTGGTGGTGGAGGCATTGATGGTCAAATCGGCGGAGCCTCAGATGTTCCCCATTTGCACCGCTGCCTCCTAGATGGCAGCCTTGGGGCGTCCTTAGACACACGTCGGGCATGCAACTCCAAGGATTTTGTCGTTGTTCGACCTGTCTTAGAGTCGTTTTTGGGAAAACAAACGTGAAAACACTCCGAGGATACTTCCTCGGGCTCGGATCCAAGGGACCTCGCGAGGTCCTTTGGAGCCCGAGGATCCGCGATTGACGGGTCGTCAGCGTCGACTGAAGACAACAATTTGGAGGCCAGAGATGGTCCAGTCATGGTCCACAGGCCTCATCAACAGACATCGTGGGCCGTCCTCCTTGCATACGTCTTGCAATGGCCTCCGAAGTTTACCGTTGGCGGCAATTCGCAGCATGGCGCTTCTTCGGGCGGCCCGTGGTAGGGTCGTGGCCGAGATAAGACATCTTTCGCAGGCTCCTCGATGGCTCGTGGCGTTCGGGTAGGCTTCCCAATGGTCGAAAATACGGATTCTGTAGTCGTGCGCCCCCACTCGCTCCCTGCACAAATCTGCTTCCTTGGGATCTTTGTGATTACCGTGTGTCGTCACTCGCCGCAAAAGCGATAACGCAAATGTCACGGTGTGTGCTGTCTCGACTGTCGTGTCGTTGATGGCTGACCTGTACCGCGGGCTGCCGCTGCTGCTGCTCGTCGTGTGCTGCTAGTAGTCGTTGTCGTCTTTCACATCTCCTTCCTCGGGCGTGTTCGTGGAAGGAGACCGACGCGACGGATGTCAAAGAAGGTGAGGAAGATGGAAAGCCTTCTGAAGAAGAGCACGATGTCGGTAGGGGCGGTGGGATCTTCACGACAGCGATGCAGTGGTGTGGAAGGTGGCAGGCGGCCATATGACCTGATGTTGTGCAGCCAACTACCGTCCCATGAGATTCCATTGCCTCCGAGTGACGACGACCTCGACAAGCCTCGATCCTCGACGGTTCATCCTAGCTGTGGTTCGATGCAAGATTGGATGCGGAGCCAGTCGTACAGACAGCCGACGACGCCCACGTACACAGAGCTGCTGGAGGGACGGACCCCGACTGGCTATCACGCTGGACTCTTCGATCTCAGCTTCGGTTTGAGGTCTGGCAGTGGTGTGGTTGTGACACACACCGCTGTCGTCAATCCAGTTGCATGCAATAATCACACACAAGCTTCGGTGATGGCAGGGGGGCTTCCGGATAACCGTTGCGGGTGTTCTCATGAGTTGACCGACGAACAAGGAATCGTTTCCCCGAAGCGCGGGGGAGGGAGCACTATAGAGGTGGCCGCTTCAAGGACGAAGACAGTGGGCGTGGCGGCTTGTCGATTGACGACACCCAACGAAGCAGTCGACGGACTGCAGGACGACGATGACTGCTCTGCTACAGAGGTGATGGGTCGGCAGGTTTGGGACAATCGTCGGTGAGAAATTCAGCAAGCGAGCACTTGCGGCATCACTAGAGGGGTGGCGAAAATGAACTTCGAGGGAAATGACATCTTCGTCGATTGCGATGGTGCAGGGGGCGATGATTACACGGTTGACGATGGTGACCGTGAGGATGGCAAAAATGACGACGACGGCGAGACTGAGATTTGTCCGCTGGGGAGGAAGAGAGGTGGGTCCCGATGTAGAAAAAAGGTTGTGCTACCGCGCGCAGGGAGACAAGGCAAGAGGGCTGCGGAGGATACGACCGCAGTCGACGGAGCGAAAAGCAGGGATTTTTGGACGGTGGAGCACATGATTGCTCTCGTCTGAGGGAAAAGAGACCAGGATTTGCATCTCACCGGCTTGGGGCACAACAACAGGCGGATGAAGTCGAAGACTTGGAAGTGGGGCATGGTTTTACCAGGCCACGGTTCGGGAGGGAGGTTGGTTTGGCGGTTGAACATCGGGGAGGATGTGGAAGGGGGGGGGGGGGGGGTTGCTCGCTGAATTGTTGCTTGGTAAAAAATGATGGAGCGTGATGGCGATAGTGGGTTGTGAGTAGGGGGATTGGCGGTTGCGAGGGGGGTTGTTTTTTGTTTCGGGTGGGGTATGGTGTCTCGTGCATCGCCATGGGGGGAGGGGGGGGTGTCCTGGTGGAAGGCTGTCCTTCGTGCTGGTTGCTCCTTCATGTACTGAGCGACCGTCCAGAGTATAAAAGGGGAGTTGGGGCGCCATTTTGTACCGCCGTACTTCCATTGCAAGGGCCTCACAGCTACCGTCGGTGCACTCCGTTCTTGTCCTCCACTGCCATGAGGGTTGGACTACGCATCCACGCGCTCTGCGTTTTGGTCGGCGTCATCATGTCCATTATTGGTGGTTAGTGCCATGTCATCCACGTCCTTCCATTGCAAGGCCTTTCACGTCAACATCAACGTGTCCATCATCTACGTCCGCTTCACGCCGCCGCGGTTTTAATCATCCACGTGGCAGTCCGACGGTAGTTTGTGTCGGGATGCCGCCACGAGGTGCCATTGGGAAGGAGAGGAGAGACAGCAGACCTGGCGATGCAGGAGAAGGACAAAGAGGTCAAGGTCATGTGCCGAAATCGAAAAGGCCGCGCATGGAGGACGTGGGCTCAAAGTACTCCAACGACTTCCAAGAAGAATAAAACACGGTGGCGGAAGCGCAAGGGACAAAAGGGGCCACACGATTGGGTTTTGGGCACGATGGGGTGTCCAGGAAAAACCTGGCAGGTCTCAAACAAACCGTCACCGCTGCTGCAATAGGAGTGTTCCGAAGAACACTTGGTGCGCATTGCCCAGGGATTGTCATCGGTGAGGCACGCGTCCACAAGCGAGTTGCACCTGCAGGTTAGGCAATGGCAAGCATCGATTACAGGACGGTCGTCCCGGTCGCTGGGGGCGTTCGGCCTGACAAGGCGCCGGTTGGGCAAGGGCAGCCACGTCAGGCTGACCCTCCGATGCAGCAGAGGGTTATAACGACGTTGAGAACACCACCCGCGCCGCAGGGTGTCGAGGGAGCTATGAGCCGCACAACGGCGGGACAACATCACAGTAGTGGGAGTGGACTTGCGAAAGCGGCGGAAGAGGGGAGGGTCGATGATGTCCACCTCCGCGATGGGAGAGGAGATGGAAGGCGGTATAGAGACGACCCCCACGGTCAACCGCTCAACAGCAGGCAGAAGCGAACGAAGCACGATGAGGATATATGAGAAGTCGAAGTTGAGGGTTGAATGCGATCTGTTTTGGGGGCAAGGGCCCGGGAAACCTCTACAGGAGGCGGTGGTCTACTGCACGGACTACTTCATCGCCATTGGCAATGGGGACGCAAGAGCGAAACCGTCGTCCATGCTGATAATGCCGCCCGACGATTTACTGCATTTCAAGATCGAGGACCCTGCCCAGAGCGCGCAACATCGAGAAAGTGGTACTGCGCACCATCGACAACTGGATCTTCACGTCACCGTTGAGGTAAAACGGCTTCGCTCATGTAGAATCGTACATCACCATCGACTACGCCACAAACATGGTGTGAGCTGTTTGGTAGGGCCTAGAGTGGTTGAAAGTGGTTTATTTAGCCCTAATCTACTACACGCTACACATGAAGATGGACGTGCTTTTGTGGTTCGTGGGAGTGAAGATTGTGGACAGGCCCGAAGACGATGACATAGTGGTGCACTAGGAGGCGACAATTGTCCGCCTGGCCGAGTGTTGGACAAATTCATTTTTGTGCGGACAGTGGGCAAACGGCGGACATTTGAAGCAGAACTGGTTGGCGAGGCTTGCAGATTGTCTTCGCCTGTTGTTGAGCGTGTGCATGTGGATTATGAGCATGGGTGTTGAGGATGTCTGTTCACACTACGAGGCATCATTCTATGCGTCTATGGTCGACAACCCACACTCATTGCGGCGAGGTCATACATCTTCAACTTGTGGAGACATATTGTCGACACTGCCAACCTCGTGTTGGATCGCCTAGGGAAGCCCCAACTTACGCTGCGAGAGTACCCGCTTTACATCCCGAAATGGGCTGCCAGCGGTTTGGTGTGCAATCACAACGCTGCCCTGAAGAACACGGACAAGGTCGTGAAACATGATTGTATCGGCAGCAGCCCTACAACAATTGGCAATGGAGATGATGCCAGTCGACATGTGGGCGTATCGTGAAGGTCGGGTCGAGGTGCACATCGTACGTGGACTGACGGGTAGACATAAGTCGGTGAAATGGGCGGTGGGGACGTCACGCGCAGCGGTCCAAGTAGCCACATCATCGTGCGGTGGGGGTGGCGATGTTGCCATGTCTCACACAATGGTCGTCGACATGTACCGGCTTCCTAGATAAAGTGGCTGGCAGTAGGCGGGTTAACGGGGGTGCCACGTGGGTACTGTGCAGCGCCGTAAATAGTTTTTTGATTTTTTTTCGTACCGGTTGGGCATTTCCTCGCCCTCCTCGTCTGCGATTGCAGTCGACGCCACATCCTTGATGTAGGCTATCGGTGTTCAAGGTCCGTCGTTGGTGGTCAGCCGTGTGCAAGAGTTGTGCTATTCCTGCTTTAATGTTGTTTTCAAACTCAAATGATATGATGAATGTATGTTTGGATCGGCGCACTGCGCACATTCCCAATGAGTTTGTACCCATCACAGGTTTCCTTAAGGTGTGTGTGATGTTCATTGACTGGAGTCGTGAGTCGACATTGTCATTTCGTCCACATGTTGTTCATTATGTTTCCTTCCCCACCTGTGTTCAATTGGGGCTTTGCAAAGCATCAACCAATTACCCGATAAAACATGCGTCGCCACAAACCAACGAAGATAGTAACGTGATCGAGGAAAGGAGTCAAATGCAATGATGTAAAGTGATTTTTTTTTCTGTATGGAATTCCACACTGAAACACAAAAGCATCAACAAATAACATGATGGAATTCCGACTGCAGAATAGATGTATGACAACCATTCCATAAAGAGGAAAACAACGTCCCACGTCGAAGGACAAGAAACAATTGCCGGCACAAAGACGACCTTACACATACATTTGAAAACATAAATCCAGCAAACAAGAGTCACTCTTGTAAAAGTAGCGCCGAAACAAGTGTGCGTCTATCGTCACCCAAAATCACAAAGCGCATGCGAATGAACCCCACACCCGCCACAAAGCATCTTTCCCTTGGCACCTCCCCAGCGATGCGAATCCTCCGTGGACTCGCAGCGCAGCCGGGATACGTGTCAGTGTCGTCACCATACCCCCCCCCGCTCGACACGCGGCGAGAATGCCACGGTGGTGAAACCCAAAACAAAAAGTGTTGCCCATCATGCGAGGAATGACGACAGTCCTCGACATTGCAATCATCACAAGATCGCGTGTACAACCAAACGACGACCTATGTCGTCTGCCCATTGGCCTCCGCACAGGAACCACAAAAGGAAAACACGCCGACGATGACGAAAGCCCAAACATTGCGCAGTGAACGACGTGAGAAACCCAATGACGTCGATGACACATGCACTCCTCTGCTACCGTGGCGAAACAGAACAGCAACTAAGTATGGAATGTGGGACTCCTAGCTTCGGGAGGCGATGAATGTCCAGATCCACTCGGCGCCGCAACCCATTCTCGTTGACCTCCCACAACAAATTCTCGTTGAACTCGATACCAGGATCGAGGAGAATGTTGTAGAGAATGCAAATGTCCACGAATTGTTGTGGCAGAGTGTCCAGGTTCATCTTGTGTGTCCGCAGGAATGACCTCCACATCCCCTTTAACCTCCCGAACACCCTCTCTACAGCCCCTCTCGCGATTTTTTGCTTCGTGCGCACCTCCACGTAGTGAGCGTAGATGACGATGTCCCTCTTCGCTTTGCCGCGTCGACTACACTACAAACCGTGGCCGTGCGTCACCACTGAAGTACAGTAGGAGATGGCAACCTGAACCGGGATTTGCCACCGTTGCGCGGCGTGCATTGCCCCATTCAACGACACACTCGTGCGCTGCCTCACTGTCGTCCTGTGACCCACAGTTTCAAATTTTGAATTTCGAACGGGGCCGTTCCCACGTTCGTGATTTTCATTTTTTGGGCCCGTGACGTATTGCCGCTGTCCGCCTGCTGGACCACAGCACCTCCTTGCCAGACATCCCAAACTCTGCAGATTGCGCGGCAGGGGGAGGTTCATTTAATTCTGCCAATTGCACGGTATGGGAAGGTTCATTCCACTCTTGTCAATTTCCGTCAGACTTGGTCTGTAGGGGAAGGTTCATTCCACTTACCATAGCTAAAGACAGCTCCACGACTCAAAATTCCCTGCAACCTAAACACTGACCGGCCTCCTGTGCCATTCTAGTGTGCCATTCTAGTGTTCCATTCTAGTGTGCCATTCTAGTGTGCCATTCTAGAGTAAGTCTGCTTCAGCAGTGAGTATTCAGAATCCTGTAGTTCGCATCTCCGCTGTGTTCCGTTCTTTGCCCCTTCACTTCCCTCCTCTCTACCAGGGCTACTCCTCTCCCTCCCCCACCCCTCGCTTTCTACACAACACTACCACTTTCCTTCGCCC